AGTGTCTTGCCAGAGGCATGCCTTAACTACAGTTAATAAAACTGCAACATTAACACCCCTCCTTCAGAGTGCTGGCACTGTACTTCCCATCTCCAGGATTCAAGTCCAGCCTGCCGGTTTCCCTGAATCCCTTCATAAATGTTACCTTGCTCGCACTCCAATAGCACGCTAAGTCCTAAAAGCCATTTGTCTCCATTTGCTCCTATCTAACATGCTCATGCATGCTTGCTGGAAGCCCAAACCCCTTGCACATAAAACCTCCTTTACCCCCTCCTTCAAACCTTTCTTAGGCAGAGGGTATCAAATGATTTAGATAAAGAAGAATTGGATATCACATTGGAGGGAGGGAGTATGGAAGAAGTGAATGTGTTCAGATATTTGGGAGTTGACTTGTCAGCAGATGGGTTTATGCAGGATGAGGTCAACCATAGAATTAATTAAGGTGAGTGGTGCTATGAGGTATCCATGGAGACAAAAAATATTATCCATGGAGGCAAAGAAGGGAACATACAAGAGTATAGTGATATCAACAGTCTTATATGGGTGTGAAGCATGATTTGTAAATGCTGCAACTAGGAGGAGGCTGAAGGCAGTGGAGATGTCGTGTCTAAGGGCAATGTGTGGTGTAAATATTATGCAGAGAATTCATAGTATGGAAATTAGGAAGAGGTGTGGAGTTACTAAAAGTATTAGTCAGAGGACTAAAGAGGGGTTATTTAACCCTTTCAGGGTTTCGGACGTACTAGTACGGCTTACGCACCAGGGTTTTTGACGTACTAGTACGCCTAAATTCTAGCCCCCTCAAATCTAGTGAGAGAAAGCTGGTAGGCCTACATATGAAACATTGGGTCTATGTGGTCAGTGTGCACAGTATAAAAAAAATCCTGCAGCACACAGTGCCTAATGAGAAAAAAAAATCTTTGACAGTGTTTTTGGATTAAAACAGCGACTTCGCACTGTATTTTTGTATGGTATTTATTGCTGTATTCTAGTTTTCTTGGTCTCATTTTATAGAATGGAAGACATATTACAGAAATTGAGATGATTTTGACTGGTTTTACAATGAAAAGTACCTTGAAATTGAGCTCAAAGTAGCAGAAATGTTCGACTTTTACCAAAGTTCAAAAGTAAGCAAATCATGCTAAGCCTCCAATACACGTCAACTGGTGAGTCTAATATTCTTTAACAAGTGCATCAATATTATTTATACTATTTCTACACTAATGCAGTAGTCTGCATAACAGTAAATCTTCTATTTTTTTGTGAGAATAAAAAATTCAAAGTGGAAAGCAAAAGAATGTAAGAGGGGTGTGGGGACATGACTAATGAACAGAGGAAATGTTATTTTAGTGCCAGAAATGTCTTTCTTGTTTATTCTGGACCCTATTTGGAAATTGGCATCTTTTGAAATTTGTGTGAAATTTGCAAATATTGCTAAATTCTGACCACTGTATTGTATAGTTGAAATCGGTAAATGGGTGATTTTTTGTACTCATTCGATAGAAAAAAATGGAGTTCTAGCGAAATAGTTATGATTTTTGTCGACTAGTATGCTGGAATTGGCCAAAAATAGGGCTCAAAGTGGGCAAAAATCGCTGATGCGTAAACATCATCAAGACCGCTAACTTCGCGAGAGCATAATTCCATAAGTTTGCCATCAAATTTCATACTTTTGGTGTCATTATGATTGGGAAAAGATTCTCTGTCTTTTCATAAGAAAAAAATAATTTTTTTTTTAAATTTGGGCGACCCTGAGAACAAGTCTGGGAGAGGGCCTGGGGACCCTGAAAGGGTTAAGTGGTTTGGTTATTTAGAGGGAATGGATCAAGGTAGAATGACTTGGAGAACATATTAATCTGTGGGGGAAGGAAGGTGGGGTAGGGGTCTTCCTAGGAAAGGTTGGAGGGAGGGAGTAAAGGAGGTTTTCTGGACAAGGGGCTTGGACTTCCAGCAAGCATGCGTAAGCGTGTTATATAGGAGTGAGTGGAGACAAATGGTTTTTGGGACCTGACAAGCTGTTGGAGTGTGAGCAGGTAATATTTTGTGAAGGGATTCAGGGAAACTGGTTAGCAAGACTTGAGTCCTAGAGGTGGGAAGTACAATGCTTGCACTTTAAAGGAGGGGTTTGGGACATTGGCTGTTTGGAGGGACATCTAAAGTGTTGTATCTGAGTGCCTCTGTAAAGACAGTAACTTTGTATGAATGATGGTGAAAGTGTTAAACAGTGATGAAAGCTTTTTCTTTCTTTTTGGGTTTTTCTTTCTTTTTGGGTCACCTGCCTCGGTCGGAAATGGCTGACGTGTTAAAAGAAAAAAAATTATCATTTGCTTTTGCTAATGTTCTCACATACAGTACTGTAATATGTTCTACAGGCCTGGCCCATGGCTGGGCTCCGGGAGTAGAAAAACGCTCAGAACTCATTAAAGGTATATCATAGGTAAAGGTATGTTTGCTGGGAAATCTTCATTATGATATTTGTCAAATTACGGAAAAACACACACACATACTTCTTCATAAGGCAAATGAGCACCCAGATATCAGGCTTAGGAGAGGTCAAAAGTGAGGTAGCAAGTGAGGTTAGGGAGAGTGGCAGACGTCAGTCAGTCATATTTAGGTGCAGATGTTTAGAAGGTGAGGTCATGGGGTCAGAGCCATAGGAAGCATTTTTGTTATAAAAACTGTCGTATCTGAGCACCTCTGCAAAGACAGTAATTATATGTGAATGTAGGTGAAAGTGTTTCTTTCTTTTTTAGGTCGTCCTGCCTTGGTGGGAGACAGCTGACATGTTGAAAAAAAAAATTGTAATGAAAAGGTTTACTATCTACATCAACACTCAAATGTTCTTGTTTTTTGTCCTCTGTCGATATCCTCATACCTTCAATATACTTTGATGGGTTTTGAGAGCTTTCCTACTCCCACAACCAGGCCTTGTGAGAAGTTTTGCTGGTGTGTGCCTGGTTAATCAGGCTGTTGCTGCTGGCAACCTCCTGGCCTACTTATCCATCACAGCCTGGTTGATTTGGCACTTTGGTGGAGGTATTTGTTGAATTTCCTCTTGAAGACTTCTACACTTATTCTGGCAGTGTTTCTGATATCTTCTTATATGATGTTAAACAGTCCAAGCCTACAAATGTTGATGCAGTGTTCTATTGTGCCCAGAACACCCCTGCTTTTCACTGTGCTTTTCTTATATTTTCTCTCATATATCTCTAGTTCATTGTTATAGTACTGTGTACATTTGGGAATGCTCCCTCAAGTGTATATGATCATGCATCTCTTTGTCCTCTGCTTCGAACAGTACATATTTAGGACCTTGAGGCATTCCCACAAATTTAAATGCTTTATTGGCTCTATGCAGGCTGTAAATGATCTTTATATCTCTTCAAGCTCTGATATTTTTCTTGCATTTATTGATGGAAATAGCACTTAACAGCATTCTAAACAAGAAAGTACAAATGATTTGAATAGTGTTACTAGTGGCATTATTTTCCATGTTTGAAAGTTCTCATTATCCACCTTGTCATTTTCATGGCTTCTGGCATACATGTATTGTGTTCTTTAACCCCTTGACTGTTGCAACCCCAAATCCTGAGGTGTCTCCTGGTGTCGCAAAATTTAAAAAAAAAAAAAAAAGAAAATTCGTATAAAATGATAGAGAATCTTTTCCCAATTGTAATGACGCCAAAAAAACGAAATCTGACGGAAAACTGAAGGAATTACGCTCTCGCGAAGTTAGCAACCTCGGCGATATTTACAAATTCGCAATTTCGCTCACTTTGAGCCCTATTTTCAGCTAATTTCATTGTTCCAGTCGACCAAACTCATAGCTATTTCTTTAGAACTCCATTTTTTCTATCAATTGAGTACAAGAATCTGCCCATTTATCAATTTCAACTACCCAATAATGTGGTCAGAAATTTGCAATTTGGCCAGTTTCACAAAAATTAAAAAATATGCCAATTTCAAAATAGGGCGCAGAATGAACAATGCAGATATTTCTGGCTCTAAAATAACATTTTTTTTTTGTTCATCAGTCACATCTCCAGGCCCCTCTGATATTACTCTTGCTTTCTATTTTGAATTTTTATTCAAACAAAAAATAGAAGATTTACTGTTATGCAGACTACTGCAATACTGTAATAATTGTACAGATAATGTCAACCCATTCATGACTGCATATTAGAATGGCTAGTTGGACATTTATTGAACAATGACATCATTTGTTTACTTTTGAACATCGGCAAAAATCAAACATTTCTCCTACTTTGAGCTCCATTTCCAGGCTCTTTTAATAGTAAAACCAATCAAAATCACCTCTATTTCTATAAAATGTTTTCCATTTTATCAAATGAGACCAAGAAAACGAGAATACATCCATAAATACTATACGAAAATAGATCACAAAGTCTGCATTTTAATTAGAAAAAAAACGGTCGGAGTTTTTTTTTTTCTCATTATGCACTGCATGCTCCAAGATTTTTTTTATATGGTGCGCACTGACCACACAGACCCATTCTCTCATATGTTGGCCTACCAGCTTTCATCGTGCTTGATTTGAAGCCACTAGAGTTCACGAGTATATATACGTCAAACACGGTACCTCGTAAGATGTATATATATGACTGAAACAGTCAAAGGGTTAAAAGCATGCGATCTATCATTGTTGCACCCAGGTCACTCGCATGTTCCTTTTGTTCTAGTTAGTGGTGCTCTTGTGTTTTGTATACAGTGCCCCTTTTAAGTTCTTCAATCTTTCCACATCTAAGCATTTGGAATTTGTCACCATTAACCTGACTTGTTAGTTACTTGCCTTGTAAGGCAGTGCACTGGTATTTTTTTGCATGCGTAATAATGTCCAGTCCTAGATAAAATATCATATTAGAGGTTTCCCTACAAATATAGTATCCTTTTCACTGCCTGTTTATTTGTGCCATTGTTTATTCTAGTGCTTAGTCCCTTGGCTAAAATATTTACATATATTATTATGTTGTATGTTTCAGATACATGGGGTCCTTTCCTGATAATTACACCTGCTTCTACTCTACATAACTGGACTGGTGAAATAGCCAGATTTGTGCCCAGTTTCCAGGTATGAATATTGTTACCAGATACATGTATAGGTACTGTTCACAAGTAGACCATCCCTGGGGCTAACCTTTGACCCATAACCTTATGGAAAAGATCTTGGTTTCCTCATGAAGCTTTTCATTTATTTTCTTCCTTTATGACACTATTATTTTTTTCAACTGCATATACAGTGGACCCCCGGTTTACGATCAGCTCCCAATGCGACCAATTATGTAAGTGTATTTATGTAAGTGCGTTTGTATGTGTATGTTTGGGGGTCTGAAATGGACTAATCTAATTCACAATATTCCTTATGGGAACAAATTCGGTCAGTACTGGCACCTGAACATACTTCTGGAATGAAATAATATCATAAACCGGGGGCCCACTGTACTTGAAAAGACCTAGTTGATAGAAGTAAGTAGAATTATGGAGATTGAAAGATTAGAGGTGAAATTAGAGGAAAGAATATAGAGGTGATGAATGTATTTAAATCAGTGGTACGTAGGCTGGCATGACCTCAAGGGGGCTATGGCAAGACTTTAGGGAAAGCCATTGCTTGATATAATAAGTTGAAGGTGTTTCAAGAAAATCTTGTAATTTTATTGTAATCAGAATCCCAATACAATTTTAATATTTATGTTTTGCATTAGTAGCTATTTTTAATGGATGACCTCAGATTTCACGAGTCCAGTTCTTGTTTGAGTGACTAGCTGTGAGTTGATCTGCTGATCTCACCTGTTCTGTACAGTATGTGTGTCATTACTGTGTATGTGGCATTTGAATTGAATGATCTCAGTCAACCTTGGAATATCAGGAAAACATGTCAGTGTGCTGTCTGAATTATATATTGTGCTTAACTCAAGCACAAATACTCCAAAATTGGTGTGACTATTCTGTTTCTTATGGTTATTACTTTACTTGTGTGAAACATTTGTGTACTTCTATTATTTTTGTATTTATAGGTATCATTGTTATTCTTAACCATTCTTTACGTTTTTTTTTTTCAACATACCAGCCGTATCCCACTGAGGTGGGGTGGCCCAAAAGGAAAAACGAAAGTTTCTCCTTTTATATTTAGTAATATATATACAGTAGAAGAGGTTACTAGCCCTTTGCTCCTGGCATTTTAGTCGCCTCTTACAACACGCATGGCTTACGGAGGAAGAATTCTGTTCCACTTCCCCATGGAGGTAAGAGGAAATAAACAAGAACAAGAACTAGAAAGAAAATAGAAGAAAACCCAGAGGGGTGTGTGTATATATATATGCTTGTACATGTATGAGTAGTGTGACCAAAGTGTAAGTAAAAGTAGCAAGATGTACCTGAAATCTTGCATGTGTATGAGGCAGAAAAAACGACACCAGCAATCCTACCATCGTGTAAAACAATTACAGGCTTCCGTTTTACGCTCACTTGGCAGGACGGTATTACTTCCCTGGGCGGTTGCTGTCTACCAACCTACTACCTAGGATTTTTTACATATAATTATAATTATATGTCATTTCTTGGTGCTTAATTAATACATATAACTCACAGTTCTATTGCTTTATGTGCATGTGTTTGAATTTTGTGTACTCTGTACATTTAGGGGAAAACTGAAGGGGAGGCAATGGGGATTTTGAGGGTTGCTTAAGGGTAAAAAGAGAGTGAAAGAGATTGAGAACTACCAATTTAGGTACATGAGTGGGGTCTGTAAAGGATGAGGACACTTACAGAACATAGGAGAAGAAGATTATTGAAAAATGGAGGAATTTGAGTTTAGCTTTGATTGAATGCAAAAAGAGATATGTATCTGATTATAGTGGTGCCAACAGTTTTTTATCAGTGTGAGGCATGGTCTTTGCAGTAAGGAGGGAGATAAAGGCAGCAAAAAAAAGTCATATTGGAGATCAGTGTGTGGGGGGAATATAAAGCAGAGAATAAAGATATTAGAAAATAGTATAGAGATATAAAATACAAAATACAAATTGTAGAAATGGTCATTGAGAGGGTTTTAGTGTAAAAGGAATGTAGCAGGATAGGTTGGTAAAGAATCTGCATAAATTTAAGGTAAATACAAAGTATAGTGAAAGTCTGGGGCAGGAATAAAAACAAGGTGTAAAAGAGATACCAAGAGGTAGGTGTTTGAATGTTCAGCAGGTAAATGTGTGCATGTTATACTTGAGTGAAGAAAGGGTAGTGGTGTCTTTGGGATTTGATATGTTGTTGGTGTGTTATAATGGTAATATCTATGAAGTGATTCAGTGAAAACCACTTACTCAGACATGAGGTTTTGAGGTGTTAAGTATATATATAATGGCTAAAGTTTGAAAGTCACATGGGATGCTAAAGTTTGGTCTATTTTTTCTGGAAAGACAAATGGGAACCATGACTCCCATGAATAATAATAATAATAATAAATGTTGATTAGGGAAGAAAGTTGTATAGTAATCTACATCTGGAACATACTGGAGAAACTGTATACTGAAATTACTGTGTGCTGTGAGCATGAGAATCTTGACTGAAAAGGCCATCTGTCAGGAGACCTGCTGTGAAACTGGACTGTAGGTTCAGTGATCTCAAGAGCAACAATTAGAACCCCTTCCTTTTTTTTTTTTTTTTCAACAAGTCGGCCATCTCCCACTGAGGCAGGGTGACCCAAAGAGAAAGAAAATCCCCAAAAAGAAAATACTTTCATCATCATTCAACACTTTCACCTCACTCACACATAATCACTATTTTTGCAGAGGCGCCCAGAATACAACACTTTAGAAGTATATACGTATAAAAATACACAATACAGTATGTCTCTCCAAACTGCCAATATCCCAAACCCCTCCTTTAGAGTGCAGGCATTGTACTTCCCATTTCCAGGACTCAAGTCCGGTTATATAAAATAACCGGTTTCCCTGAATCCCTTCACTAAATATTACCCTGCTCACACTCCAACAGATCGTCAGGTCCCAAATACCATTTGTCTCTCTTTTATTTCCTATAATACTCGTGCAATCCCAGCTGTACTACACTTCCAGATATACCTAACTAGGTCTTTACAATCCCCTCATTCCCTTTCGTAGGGGCTTTGTTTTATTAATATAATTAGCTTTTTATATTAGGTATTTCTATATCAATGCTGGGAGCAAGGGGCTAGTAACCCCTTCTCCTGTATATATTGCTAAATTGAAAAGAAACTTTTGTTTTTCTTTTTGGGCCACCTTGCCTTGGTGGGATACGGCCAGTTTGTTGAAAGAAGAAGAAATTAACTTTTTATATTAGGTATTTCTATATCAATCGGGAGCAAGGAGCTAGTAACCCCTTCTCCTGTATATATTACTAAATGTAAAAGGAGAAACTTTCGTTTTTCCTTTTGGGCCACCCCGCCTCGGTGGGATACGGCCGGTGTGTTGAAAGAAGAAAGATTTCTATATCAATGCCGGGAGTAAGGGGCTAGTAACCCTTTCTACTGTAAGCATTACTAAAGCTATAAAGAGAAACTTTTGTTTTTCATTTTGGGCCGCCCTGCCTTGGTGGGATATCGCTGGTTTGTTGAAAGATAACGATTTCTATATCAACTATTCTTTCTGTGTTCTCACATCAGTTATTTAAATTAAAGCTACCTAATCCTGACTCTTCTCTAACAATTTTCTATAAAATCCTACACAGCATTAAAAGTAGCCACAAGTCTTGAAATAATTGAACTAATTGAAGGCTCCAATTAGAACTATTTCACAATTCTTTCAAGGTGGGTCTTCAGTGGCTAATTATAATCAATTAAATAATATTTTTCTGTATGCTTTATACCTCTCATTAGTATAAAATGCATTTCAAGTTATAGAACAGGTGGCACAGAAAAGTCTGCTGGAGCTCTGAACGTTGTTCAGTTATTATGAAGTGCATGCATCTTCATAACATTATAACTGTCTTTAAAAATAAGTCCAGCTTGAAATTCTCATTTTTATTTTCAGGTAGTTCCATATTGGGGTAATCCTGAAGAACGTAAAAATCTTCGAAAGTTTTTTGATGGCAAAAATCTTGGAACAAGGGAGGCTAGTTTCCATATAGTAGTAACCAGTTATCAGATTGTTATTCAAGATTTCAAGTTTTTGAACCGCTTAAAGTGGAACTACATGGTTCTTGATGAAGCCCAAGCCATCAAAAGCATTAACAGGTATTTCATAGAATAGACTGAATAATTCATAGGATATAAAGTACAGGTCTGCCATCACAAATCCAGCAATCAGTTATTCGGTTCCTTCAGTTATTCGGCACTAATTTTGGCTAGCATAATTTCAAATTTCCAGGGTCACCACACCAACCTGCTGCTACTGTTTGGTGGCGCTACTTGCTGCATAAGTCACTCCAATTTCTTTTTCTCCATTTATTGTTATAACCTGCTTACTTTTAGCAGTAGCCATGGTTCCAATGAATAAAAGAAATGCTTCTCATTATGTAAAGCACCTACACAGTACATTATCCATTAAAGATAAGGTGGCTTTGAAGCCACTGTCGGTTGCCATGAGCTCAGTCTCATGATGCAGGAGAATATGCTTTATTATTCCACTAATACCAACACTACAGCTTATTTGCCTATCACAATTGATCTAATATGACATAATAAACAATATAAATAACATAAAACATGTTAAATACTCTGGAATAAATAATATTTGGTATAATACCGAGCAGTTCGACGAAGGAATGAAGAGGATATGGTATACAGATACCATTCTCCTATCCCTGTCTTGGGGCTTATATTAGAGAAAACGGAGTACAGTGGACCCCCGGTTAACGATATTTTTTTCACTCCAGAAGTATGTTCAGGTGCCAGTACTGACCGAATTTGTTCCCATAAGAAATACTGTGAAGTAGATTAGTCCATTTCAGACCCCCAAACATACACATACAAACGCACTTACATAAATACACTTACATAATTGGTCACATTCGGAGGTAATCGTTATGCGGGGGTCCACTGTATAGCACAGGGCTCACTGTGATATACACACGTACTGCACCATAAACCTGAAACGAAAAAGGTAATTTCTCTATATAGATTATCACACACAAGAGCATATGTGTAGAGAACCTAGGATAACCCAAAAAAGTCAACATGGCTTATTTCTAGTACCTGGCTTGGGTTAGCCATATATGATTTTTGATAAATATTCGATTCCCAGCCAGGGTAGAAACATTAGGCGTGTTTCTTTACACCTGTTGTCTATGTTTACCCATCAGTAAATGGGTATCTGGGTTGTGGAAAATTTTCTAGGGGTGATTACCTTTATGTACCTCAACATTACATGCATACAAGTAAACTCATTGGAAGACAACCATATTGTTTACCGTAGTCACCCCGTGTAGACATATGAGAAAACTTAACCACCCCTGGTCACGGCAGGTGGTTCCTTCGACCTCACAATCTTATCCATATCTATCCGAGACCAGTATGGATTGGATAGCACCCACAAGTACGGCGCTACTAATTAATTGTGGACTGTATAGATTATATTAGTGTAACTGAATGAAGGGGGGGGGGTAGGTTACACATGGATATATCCATCAAAGAAAAACATTTGTATATAATCCCACCACTTACCAGATTTTCTCTGGGGGTCACTTGATGTAGCTGGATCACCCATAACCTATCAAATTACAACATACCTAACTGGCCAGTATCAGTCTGCTATAACTAGAAGGGTTACTTAACTGTGGGTGATTGATACTCCTTATTTCCTCCATTCACCATCTCATTTCGATGTCCTGCTACACCGACACGGTTCTCATTCCAGCTTGACGAGGTATCCGTTGGTTTGTCCCGGTTTAGAAGTCGTGACTCAATGAACTTCACTTTCCTCGTGACGGGAACAACGTGGTCTAGCGTGTTCACTCGGAGCAAGGCGACTTATTTCACTTCACGCATTCTCTTAACTTAGCGTTATTATCATTAATTACATTACAATTCACAAGACGATTTAATGTCTCATAATTATTATACACATTAGAGATCACTCCATTAAGATCTGAGACCGATGAGTGATGATTAAACCAAGGGTAATTTTCCCCGGGACACAGTCCATGGTGACGCGCCAGTCACCCGGTCCTACCCTTATTCACTCATTTTACCACTATTACGGTGGTCCCATAAATCACGTTCCCTCACTCTCCACCAGGAACAGTTATGACACTTCCTATTATGAAATGAGGCCTATATTAATCCTTAGGCCGCCGTGAATGCCAATTTCCTGGTTCCATGCTTTCCCAGCCTCCTCACTACATTCAAAACACTCCCGCCTCTCCCATGCCCCGAGTCGACCTCTCCCCCCGCACATCCACGCATGCGCAAAGGGAACTCCTGGTTCTATCCTATTTTCAAATACATTTTTGACTCATATCGACACATTAAACTCCTATTAGGCACTATAGCTTCGGAAAATTAAAATATTTTCCACACTGCGGCCGGGCGGAGGTCGTTGCTAGACGACTTACATAATGTGGAGTACAATTTTCCCATCTTCACTGGCCACCTGGCTTGGGAACTCCAACATTGGTATTTACCTAATCACCCATTAATTCTTTCCACCTGTTAACTCCTCAGGTAGGGCTCCATCCAAAGCACACTCAAGCCTCCATGCTTCTGGTATTAACAATTTCCCTCTTATTGTAAGGTGTGACACTAAGTCTATGCTCTCGGGGTTAATTTGTTGGGCATACTGGAATTATGAGACTTTAACAATAACAAGTCTCTCTCAGTATCCCAAGTCAGCCCCAGCACATTACTGCATTATTTCATTAACCCCTTCACATATCCTCATTAGTTCCACTTCAGTTGACGTCACACCCGGAAATTGTCCACATAAGATTATTTACCCAATTACTTCGCTCAGTGGACCACCTGTGCACTTAAGGTGTGCATTTATCGTCGCCTGAAGTAAGAACAATTTATTATTTAACTGTTTATTAATTATATCATTATAAGCAGTCAACAATTTTGGTGTCTTGCTCATTTCGCAGAGCTGGGCCCGTTAACTGTCCATACGCCATCCTATAATTAGTAGATAATTCTGGATGGTTGAGCTTCCACGGAAGTCGCACCCAGTAATGTCCAGATTCAAATTTAACATCCTTCAGGTATTGTTCCTGAGTAATGGAATCATTTGGACTTTCCTTATTTATATTAATCCCTATGCTGTCCAGCTCCCACAAATTAGACTGGTTCAACATCATTCTCGATAGAAGAATACTTGTACTGGGTTGACCTTTTATGAGTAAGACACCGTGACTGTATTCACTACTTCTAGTCATTATTACTAGGCGGTAGTCCGCCATATATTACATGGCCCGTACCAGGGTTGAGGAGAGTGATGCTGCATGGTTTTGGATTTATGCCCTTTATCCTGAATTATTACATCCAACACCGGCAAGGCTACCTCAGCTAGGCCATCATTATTGCCATTAGCTACAACCTTTACATCAGTCACTGTAGTGTCAGGGTTATTAACATTATCATTATTGTCACCATTATTATAAGAATCGCATACAACCCTGCACATAACTGTATGGTGCCTTCTCTTGTTGCATTGATAGCAAATGTTCAATTTGGTATGACAATCCTTTACATTATGATTGTCTAGACATCTGATAAATCTGTCAAGTTCTTTCATCCTCTCCACTTTAATATCCCATGAATTATAGGCATTACAATTTTTAGTGAAATGAGTACCCTGGCAGAAGAGGCAGTCTCTCTTTTCCTTGCCTGACCTCTTATTAACTGGGTTACCCTTACTGAGGTACTTATTCCTCTTCCCTTGATGTGAGGAACCACTATTACTGATTCCTGACTTGATATGTGCCTATTTAACTCTTAACTATGATTATTACCACTGGGATTATTTTTCCCTTTTGAGACTTGACAGATACTTCAGAGTCATTATGTGTTATATCCTTAGAACTGTTTGGCTGACTGGTCTGCAATTGAACAATTAATTCCTGCCGACCTAGTCTGATTTCCTCCAGACTGTACTCTGGAAGTTTTGGCAAACCCACCCTTTGCATTAATAGGTTGATCAACTGCCTGGCTTACACCCTTTAATTTATTCAAAGCCTTACTTTTACAAGACAGTTTTTCTTCCAATTCGTAATGTTGATTAATTAAAACATTCATTTCCATTCCATCTGCACAATTCTCCAGCAGATCTCTTTCACAGTCTTTAAACCACAATTTGTACCAATCAAATCTACTCTCTAAAACATCAAAATATAACATTAATTCATTAGGGTTCATGGTTCTTTGATTCATTAAATCAAATGCCTTCGTCACATGGCCTTTAATAGCCTGTAATGATGCTTTCATTACTCTAAAATTCACGGACTTGTCAGCCACATTAACTCCATCAGATCCAGTCATGGTTAGAGAATTATTAATCACTGATTATACAACTTAAGTAGGCGCCTTATAAGAGTAATTCTTGCACTTTACTCTTGTATAAATCCTAGCCACACATGTGCTAGCAATTAATTCGGCTAATTATCATCCACCACACGATCGATTAAACTTGTGTACCCTATACCCACTTCCTTCAATCAGTCACTTAATTATTAAGTAATTAATTCAATTATTTTTTTTTTTCACTGATTGCATCCGGTTCGAAGGACCAGCGGGCAGATGTGGAAAATTTTCTAGGGGTGATTACCTTTATGTACCTCAACATTACATGCATACAAGTAAACTCATTGGGAGACAACCATATTGTTTACCGTAGTCACCCCGTGTAGACATGTGAGAAAACTTAACCACCCCTGGTCACAGCAGGTGGTTCCTTCGACCTCACAATCTTATCCATATCTATCCGAGACCAGGATGGATTGGATAGCACCCACAAGTACGGCGCTACTAATTAATTGTGGACTGTATAGATTATATTAGTGTAACTGAATGAAGGGGGGGGGGTAGGTTACACATGGATATATCCATCAAAGAAAAACATTTGTATATAATCCCACCACTTACCAGATATTCTCTGGGGGTCACTTGATGTAGCTGGATCACCCATAACCTATCCAATTACAACAAACCTAACTGGCCAGTATCAGTCTGCTATAACTAGAAGGGTTACTTAACTGTGGGTGATTGATACTCCTTATTTCCTCCATTCACCATCTCATTTCAGT